GTTCTCAGTACCCAATTTTTCAGAATTCTAAGTGTTTTGGAACGACACACCCTCGACAGTCCGTCGTGCCCATGACGGTCCGTCGTGGGATTCGTCGACCCAAACAGTGATTTTCAGAAATTAACGCTGCTGCTTCAAACGACTAACAGGTCGTTACAAGCAAATATTTAATGTAGTAGAATTTTAGTAACCTTGCAGAAAATTATTAAGTAGTTCATTTTCAGTTTTTATTTCTAACTAAGAAGTCATGAAGCAGCGACACTCAATGATCAATGCAGCAAATTATTTGTTCATGCAGATTGGTCGAGAGCAGATTTTATTTCCGTATTTATACATGCTGTGAAAATTATTAGAGAAATGATTTTAACAAGCCAATTAGATCTGATTAGCATTTAATCTTATTAGTTAAATGCTGTAGATATGGTTTCTAAATGAACAAGCCAAAATTAACTTCTTATCTTAATGCATAAATATATTAGAAATTATATAAATCCTATAAGCATAGTATCTAATTATGAAATCCAACACAAAAGGTAAAATTTTATAGGAATGGTATCTAAGTTAACAAAATTATTTCAATACAAAATAAATTAAGACAATAATCAAAAGTTCTATTCATTTATTATAAAAGAAGTCTGATTTAAATAGGTGAAGCAAGGAGCAGTCATATACTCACTCTGTACCTATTTAGTTGTCCAGTTTAGAAGTGACACACATATTAAGACACTAATTATTGTCATAGGGTAGTTATAATTTTACCCTTAACTTAAAAGATTATGAAACTCCCCAAATATAATAAATGTCTTTCTGATTTCAAAAAACATGCATTACAACTTAGTAGTACTAGAAATTTTCTAAAATTAAATAAGGGCATATTAGAAAAAAAATTTATTGTCCTTTCTTGATTTGTTAAAATGAACAAATAAATAGAGACCGATATAAAAGAAAATATTGAGAAGTAAATAAGGACAGAGGGAGTATTATTTTAATTTTATTATTAATGACGAAGAAGAGATCATATAAATAAATTAGATCAAAGCATAACTTTTAGCTAAAGTACTTAATTACATGTTGATTTTACACTAAAAGAAAATTGGTGAAAAGTAACTTATTTTATTTTAGACCAATCTTGAGTGAAATTATTAAAATAGGAATGATTCATCAACAGTCTTATAGGCATGCTTTCTAAGAACAAATAAGTTTGCAAATAAAATAACAATTAGTACGTAATTTCTCCTTCCTTAGATGATCCCTCAAATTTATTTGCACATATATACTAGAGTTACAGTTTTATACAAATTATTGCAAAACCAAAATAAAACCGAAAGAGATACACAAAGAAACTAAAATCCATCGACATCTTCTCCAAAGCGACCAGGGGAGGAGCCACCTTGAACCAAGAGGGTTCATTCGAATCCCCTTCGGCGAAAAATTATATTACTTATACATGGTTAAAATAATTTTTTATGTATATATAGTAGATGTTAAACCCCCTTTATCGAGTTTGAACCCTCTTCTTGAAAATTCTGATTTCGCCTCTAAAAAAAGGATTCTTTAAAACCTTGAACTCTAAAATCAAGATCCTGCTAAGAGACAATACAACCGAATACATAAAAAAGCGAACATACATAATCAGATATCGTTCACGTATATATTGATACATATATATATAAAGTTGCAATCATTTAAATAGGGCACACACACTAAATGCAAAAATTGTCAACACTAACCAAATATAATATTAATAAGAACATTCCACTTAATTAAGGTAAAAAGATATTATTAATGCCATAATATGTCCAATCACACTAAAAAAGAACAAATAAAATATTAAACGAAAGAAATATCTAACATATAAGTCAAGAATCAAAACGTAACTTTGACCACTGGTTTCTGGTACTTGCTACCTTATTAAGATAAGAATTGATAGGCTCCAATGGCAAATCAAATGAATAACCACTATTCGATCACCTTGAGAAATCAAATACACTATGATTGTAGTAAATATAGGCAAATTTAGCAGCATAAGACTAAATTGATTTTAATTGATGAGGGAAGGCATTTCAATAATAGAGGACTTCCAATTTAGGAAAAACAATTACACAGAATCATACATCATCTTTAGCTCCTACGAAATTGAATCAAGGTCATGACTAACAAAAAGGAAACTCAAATCACAGCAGACTATCTGTATGAGCATGGATATTGCAAAGATTCACAGATTGAAAAATTAACAATAATAATTACGCAGGTTTAGGGAAATCAGAAGAATCACCATACATGTAATGAACAAACTTCAATTTCGATGATAAAAGTAAGAGTAAAATATATAAAAATATAAATGCAACGATTAGTATATCACATAATTTTCTATAGACTATAACATGCCCAAAAAAAATTAAATAAAAAAATCACACCAAACTCAAACGAAAATGAGAATTTGCTGACCGGAGTTCTGCTTATTTCACTAGAAAAGGAGAGGAAAGAGATGAGATAGGGAGACCAGCTTAACACTTACGCCGGTGAGTCTAGCCTGGTTTCACTGCATCGCCGGAGCTGCTGGCTGCACTGCCTCGCTAGTTCTCTCCAATTACTGTTGCTTACTGTCGTTGGAGATTCTGTTATTCTCCTCACCTGGCCTGGAGAAGAGAGGAGAGAGGAGAAGGTGGAAGAGCGAGGGTAAAGGGAAAGGGTCAGGCGAGAGAGGAGAAAGAGGACGGCGTCGGACACATTTCGCCGGAGCTCGTCGTGGAGGAGAAAGAGTAGCGGCGCTGCTGCCTCCTAGAAGAAGGAGAGAGGGAGGCTGCACTGGAGAGGGAGAGGAAGAGAGGATAGAGTTTTAGGGTTTTATCTCTTAGAGCTAAAATAGGGAAGATTTATAGAATTGATCTGGTCTGTTGATTTAACGAGAGAAAGGGTTAGGATTCAATGTAGAAGTTATTTTAAGGATGGAAGGATGATATTAAAAGAAAGGGTCTTGAGAGTTGAATTGAAATGAGCGTAAAAATTGGCTAGAATTGAAATGGAAAGTCGCTATAATATAATAAAATTGGAACTTTGAGATGGTTAGAATTGGAATGAATTAGAATAAAATAGGCCACAATTAAAATGATTCTGAGGAATCTAAAGAAATATTATTCAATTCAAATACTATAAAATATATTTTATATAATTAAAAATCACTTAAAAGTTAAAACATTTGTATAAAATAAATAATTCGAGTTTTACTAATAATCCCAGGACTATTGTCAAACCTTAGGCTGTTGCATCAGGCAAGAATGGCCCGACAGATGGAGCGAATGTTTTCTATTTGTGGTGGGGGTAAATCCCACCTTTACGTGTCGTTTTAACAAATGTTTTAATTTTAGATTTGGATTATCTGTGTTTATATTTATGTTTTCAAACTGCTTAGACGATTGCTTGAGATAATAGCTTGGTTTAATTGGAAAGCGATTTTTGACCCTTTTGAAAAAAAATTCTCTTTTTGAAAATATTTTTCATGTTTTGTGTTGAAAGTGGTTGTTCTCTTGCAAGTTCGAATCTCGGTCTCGATCAATAACGATGACTTGAATAGTTCTCTCAATCGAACAAACATGATTGTGCGGCTACGACGAGACCAAATGAAGTTGCATAGAGAATATGTGAAATCTTTGCATCTCGTTGTGATTAGCCATGTATCAAATTAATTCTCTTGTGATCACCGTTGCACACTAGAAAAAGTGTATAGTCTTGTTTGACTTTAGTGTCTGTGGCTTGTATGATGAGCTTACTTTGAAGATTACATGAATAAACCTAGAATTTTCCCTGTTAGTTTGATTGAGTAAGTAAGGTTTGCTCTTGAGATTATCTTAGGTAACTTTAGAGAGTGTGAGTCAGTTTGACATATAACTCTTTTATGGCCTACCCTATGAGTGTGTGAACCTCTCTTGAACACCCCTTGAACTTTGCTTTTATTTGAAAAAAAATTTGATGAAACTAAGACCTTTCTTTATCCACTAAATATAATCCTCTGTAGCTAGTCTCACCCTCTCCGCACCAACAACATGTAATATGACAAAAAATTTCTAAAGTACTTCTACAAAGTTCTCTGGATCCTCTGTGACACATGAACCTGTGAAGCTGGGTGGATTAATCCCTAAAAACTCACGAATCCTTGAGGTATCAGCCACTTCATGTCGATTACCTCTTTGTACAACTTGATGAGTCGCAACTTGATATAACATCCTGATAGTCTCACGGAATTCAGCAGGGGTATTCTTCTTGAGGTTGCACTTCAGGTGCATTCAGTAATTCTTGTTCCTCAACCGTCCTCCTAGCTGGACGACCTCTGACTTTTCTTCATGGTGGCATGATTCTCAGAAAACATGCATAGGCACGAATTAGAAAGAAACTTTTTAGAGATAAACTCTAACCCATGAAATAGGTATGAAAGAAGTGAGGAATTTCCTAAATGTTGCGGCCTCCTAATTATATATGTGGCACACTTCACACCGATAACTAGAACACTACAGACACGGCTTCTAAGACTCCCTAGGACTCTTGAACTTTGAGATTTGATAACAAGTTTGTCATGCCCCAAGTCTACTCCCTAACGTGCCGGCACTCAGAGACCATTGTTTGCCCCAAGCGAACCCTTGGCCTGGCTTACTTACTCAATGGAAGACTTAAAGAATTAATACAGTAATTAATATTCTCTACTGTCTCGAATTGAAATCAAAATTTGTTTTAAAAATAAATATTTACCTTAGCCAAAATGGCAACTTAAATCTGAAACTAAGTTAATAACAAAAATTATAATGAAAGAACTATAATCTGACTGACTATCTATGAAGCCTCTACTAAGTGAGATTGATGTTGGGATAGACCTCCACAATATCTTAATGAACTAAATTAGAAAGCAATGAAAATGGATCCTCGGTAAAGCAAGGAGGATTACCAACTAACTTTGAACTGCTCACTGGATTAACAGTGCTCTGGAATGTCGATCCTAGTTACCTGCATCTGCATCATGATACGATGCAGGCCAACTGGTATCAGTACATTGCATGTCTGAGTATACGAGTTGGAATATTAAACAACAACTTAATCTTGAAAAAGAGTAAGAAGGAACACTTACCTTGGCTCTGCTCAACTCATGAATAACATCACTCAATATAACTAACTCATTTCATTAAATAGTAGTTTAAAGACATGTGCAATATAAAGAATAGTTGTTGAAACCATGGTTTTCAACTATGTGTATGCAAAGATACAATTAACTCTGAGATGTATGTAAAAATAAAAATATCTAAACTCATAATCTTAATAAAAAACATCATGCTTCCTCTCAATGTATACTCGTTCAGTGCTTGAATGAAGTCCCATGCCCCTATTCATACGAAGCAGAACCTCTTGAGCAATCATACAACTATATTTGTGGAAGTTTCTCTAACCGACAACCATCACTTAATAGCTATAGTGATGATACAACATTTTACCTCACACTACAAGAGGACCGTCCTATACCTTGATATTAGTATAGAACCTGAACTACTAAGTGGATCCACTAGTCTACTGTAAAAATGATTCATCTAAAAAGTATGACGGTTTTTTACCCATGATATACTTAGTTCTTATGTTTTAAAAACACATTTCTTCTGTGATTTGAGATTAGTGCTCAAAAACATAGCTCATAAGTTTGTAAAAAACAAAATTCTTTCTTGGGTTTGAGATGATTACTCAAACTACCCTCTTTAAAAAGGTAACTTTGAACTCTTTCTCAAAACATATCAAAATCATATTTTAATGTGATCATTGATGACTTGGGAAGTCATATTGCATATACATTGATGGTATATCTAGATACCATGCTTCTTAAACATTGATGACATACTCGAATGTCATAGTAATCATGTTTTATATACTTTTTCTCAAAACTCATCTTTTTTTCTTAAAAGAGATTGAAATCACACTGTTCAAAGCTCTTTTGGAAATCTCAATTTCCTTTCATCTTAAGTGTAAGAACATTTTAAATTCTTGGGAATACTTAGTTCCCATATATTCTTTTCAAGAAAAGACTTAACTTTATTCTGAACTGAACTCCAACTTATGTCTTCGAAATAAATTTAAAATGTTTGTAAAATACTTATGAAACTCGAACTGAACTTCTTCTTCTTATCTTTACTCTTTACTCAACTTGAAACTTGAATCATAAAACAACTCTTAGGGAATACTTAGTTCGCTTATATTTCTTTGAAGAAAGAACTTCAACTCTTTCTCTTTACTTAACTTGAAACTTAAGTCTTAAAACAAAGTTAAAACGTTTATTAAAGACTCTTTAAACTATAAGAAACTTTGCTTTGACTTACTTCTTAAACTTCTACACTTAACTCTTAACTTCTTTGACTTTAATCATAACTTTCCTTGAATTTTATTATGGATTCAAGGTTCATGATCTCATGTTTATGAATGATTTCATTATGTTTAGATGTACTCAGAGTGTTGAAATTAACTAGGAAATGTAGGTACATTACTTAGGAACTAGTACAAAAAGATGGGAGAAGAATGGGGAAACTAGCGTCCCTTGAGCTCTAAGAGGCGCGGGGCGCCAGCCCTCATCAGACAAAGAGCAGGCTAGGGTGCCGCCCCAAGTCCCTACGAACAGAGATTGTCCTGTGAGGCTATGGGAGGCGCGGCACCCTAGGGCCCTACGGACAAGCGTTTCAAATTTTCTTCTCAATTTTTCATCTCTAAGCCTCCATGGTTCTTTCCCCAAACACTTAGAATCGCTAATACCCTCAATACCCAATAGAACCGGCTCGGAAAAAAACTCGGAAACGCAAATCAAATCAACTCTATGCATGCAACAATTTAACCAACAAGAACTCAACAATATTCTTCAAGAAATTCACTTTTCATCATCCAATCTACTCAAAAACACTGAATTTAAACAATTTGGTGTGTAGGTGAACTAACCCAACACGAAAAGATCTCGATTACTTTTGTAGGGATCACCCCCGACGAATTTCACAAGTTGAACTTCAATGATCTTGAACATTCTTGCTTTTTCTTCTCCTTTATCCTCTTTTCTCCTCTTCTTTTCTCTTTTCTCAAAACCTTAACTTTTTTTCTAAAAACGTGCATTGAAGGAGATCAGTTTAGACCCCACTTTATTACCCAAAAATGAAATAAAATAATTGAGTAAGGAAAAGACTACTTTTCCCTTCCCAAATCAGATTTGGATAATCCTTAATCCAACTTCCAAAAGGCATAACTCACTCATACGATATCGAAATTGCTCAAATCGGCACCGTTAGAAAGATCTTTTCAAAGAATTTCAAACCATAACAAGAACTGCTGATCCTGAACTAGAGGTTATGACCGTATGAAAATGGCCAAAACTCACTTTTTCAACTTAGTCCATTTTTCCTGATTTTTCTAATTCTTTCCAAAAATAAATATTCCTAGATTTTAACCTCTTTTCTAGTAATTTCTAGTTGCTATATCTTACATACCTGCACAATCAAAACTCGTTTTTCAAAATAAAAACACAAATCATAAAGAACTTGGGTTTCCTCCCAAGAAGTGCCTTATTTAACGTCGTGGCACGACACTAAGTACCCATTCAAGCTTCATTCTTGGGGTTTGCCCGAGTATTACAAGGCCACCTCTCTTTGTGTCTTGGGTTGAGATGCTATGAAATCTAATTCATTTGGGTCTCCAATTGCGTATTCGAGATGAATGAGAGGTCACCATTCGATTAAGGGTCGAGACATTGTCTTTTATCTCTTTTAACACTATGTCATATCCTTTGACTTTGCTCTGAATATGTAAGAGTTTATCTCCTATTTGATCACCCTCGTTATACTTAGGCTTTTAGCCTCATGGGGGGACGTGCCTATCCTCTTTCCCCCTTTTATTCCATCTATGGTTACCACCTGGCTTTGA